CTGCCACCCGCAAGCTCGAAGAGCTCGTCCCATTGACAAGCCTCTTGCCTGTGCACAGGAGCTGTTTGAGCTTGGACTTGAGTGACACAAGGGAACACGGCTAAAGGCAGCTCTAATACCTCACTTAAGCTCAGGACTCATTTCTGTGGCTACGGGTGAAACCTAAAACTTCAACATGGAAGCAAGAGGAGGACGAAAGCAATGCCCAAGAGTCAGAAAACCAGAATAGCAAGCCCGTAAAGAGCTGCACATCAAAAACCTGCTGCCATCTCAGCACTGGGCTACCTGGCATCCCTCGAGGACCTCAAGCACCTGTCCTAAATAGCTGGTTGGGAGCAGGGGTGAAGATATTTTCCAGGACAGACACCAACAGCTCTGTGGGATGTAGTGTTTGGGTACCTGCTGCTCACCCCGAGTCAGCACCTTGTGTTGTAGAACCATCACGGGTCCATGGCATAGCTGAAATGCGCTCCTTGTAGCAGGATCAGACCCAATCTGTTTGTGGTGGTAAAGGGTGACTTTCCTGACGGAGCACACCATGCATGGCAGGTTTAGGAGGGGCGGGTTGAACACGGAGAAGGGCTTCTGCAAAGGCAGCAAAACCAGACAACCACAGCTGCTGAACTCAAAAGTCACAAGCAGCTCATGGAGCGACAGCTGGACTGAAGGACTATGCACCAAACATCACCAAAATGTTGTCCTTTTTGCTGCCGTCTAATGCTCGGCTGATGTTCAGACATGAGAACACCCAAAAACTCTCCAGAGCACGAGCCTTAAATTTATCCAGGGATTAAATGCAAATGGATTAAAGCTTTGCCACAAATGGAAAATATTTTGCTATCGGCCATTCGAAGCAGCAGCAAAAGGCCAAACACGCATTCCCTGTCTCATACGTAACGTTACTGCTTTCAAAACAGAAGCACCCCCCTTACTGCTGCCCCCCAGCCTGGCTGAGGTTTCCCAGGAGCTAAAATGCAGTGATTCCACGAAGAGGTTGCGTGACAAGGCAGGGACACGTCGTCCTGCCCGTGGGATGGACAGGCATGGAAAAGCTCCACATCTTCACTGCCCTCAACGGCAGCACAAACCAAACAACAAGAAGGGCACTGGGGCAAGTATAAAAATCTCTGCCAAAAAGGTAAGTGTGGATTTCACAGCGACAACAGAATTAAGTAGTAATCTGCCTGCCAGATGAAGTGGGAAGGTGTTTTGATCCCCGCCAAAATGCGATTTTGAGAATTCCGATCCGTCAAATTGCAGGCAACGCTGAAGGGCTGAAAAATAATAAACCAGGGTATCTCTCACTGCAGAAGGTACAGAGCTGCATCTTCTAGCCAAGGGGGGAACATCAGTGCAGAGAAACCTGTGACATCCTGAGCTCCTTGCCCACTCTGCTTGCTTTAAGCCTATAAATTATCAAGTGGAAAAGAAAACAAATAAATCACCTTGGGGGGAGAGCTGAGGCTCGCTCGCCCGGCAGAGGGCTGCCCGAGCCAAAACCAAATCCCCGTTCTGCCCTCAGACTCATTGCACCCCGCCTGCAGAGCTGAGCTGAGCCAAAACTGACCCAAAACAAAGGGTTACTCAAGTAACTCGTTTCGTGGTGCATCATTCTCCCAGGGAAAAAAGAGAATCAGCCGTTATGGAAACTGCTGTGGCCAACGTGGGCCGTGGTGTCCTGGCTTACTGGGATAGAATCTCAGAATCAGCTTCCTGTCCAGGAAAACTGCATTTCTAGGAAGACTTTAGCTCTCGTTTCCAGCAGGCACAAGCTGGTAAGACATTGTGGTTTAGTTTTCAGCCAGCACTGGAGGCAGGTTGCCATAGTGCTCAAGGACTGGTTTCGGGTTTGGTGTTGCTCCTGTCCTGCAGCTGAGGGGAGAGAAACGCAGGGCAGATGGCCACGCTGGCCAAAAGGAAGTCAAAAAAGAAGCCATAAATCCTATCAGCAAATATTTGCTGTCAGTATCTGCTGAATTGGAGGGGCCACAGCAGGAACTCGGTGTGGTTTGTCCTCAGGAGCACTCCCACACCTGGCACCAGGCGAAGGATGAGCCAACGGGCAACACACCGAGCTGTCCCTGCATGGAAGCGAAGGGGGGAGGCTGATGGGGTTAACCACTCTTTTCAGAGTACAGAGAAGCAAAGGGGTCATCGCCTTTTCTTGGCTTGCGCTCCTCTAAACCTCCCTTTGCTAGATTTCATGGCTTTTAAAACTTTCCACACCCAGAGGGACTAAAAGCTAAAGCAAGACAGATCTTAGCAACATCGAAGTCCACCCTCCTGGCAAAGATTTATGCTCACCTGAGGGGCACCAAGGCCCACCTGTGCCCAAGCAGCACAAGCATCATCGCCCAAGGCAAATGCATGCAAGAGGACCATGTACGTGATGGTCCAGCTTTTAATTGGGAACAGGACCGCCCCTGGAAGCTGCCCAAGGATCTCACCCCAGAAATACAAAGTCCAAGAGGCAAGCGTGGGTTTTCGAAGTCTCCAGCAGAGCACCATCATCCTTCGGCTACGCTTCTCCAGAAAGCAAAGGCCAAGGAATCACTGGAGATGTACCATACCTGCGTGGTTTTGGGGGGAAGGCAACTGAAATGCTTGAAAGTGGGAAATCCAGGATCCCCAATCGTTAGCGCAACGCTAAACGACGAGTGGTTGCGCTCCCCACGCCGGTCCCCGCAGCATTAGCACCATCGCAAGCCATCACCCATCTTAAAAAAGCCGGTGCTGCCAAGCAGATACTCGCAGGGCAGGAGCCCAAGGCAGCGCAAGAGCCACAGCCTGGAGTTACCACTGATGCACGACAATTTTGTCCCGTATCTACTCCTCTCGGTCCCCTCCTCCGGCCCAGGCAGCACCCAGCACAAGGCCACGCCGCCGAGCGGTACCGCTGCGCCTGCCCAGGGTTATTTCTCAAGACAGCATGCTCTGCCAAAGCACAGCTCGGCTGTGAAAACAACAAACAAACAAAGAAAAGAAACCAAGTTTAGCAAGATCCATGCAGTAAGTCAGACACTACAATGCAGGATTCAGCAGATAGGTTCCATTTAATGAATGTCATGTGCATATATCCATACATTTACTTATGTCAATGGTTTTGATGTGCGTGATGCCAGGTCTTGAAAAATCTACTTGTTCCTTTACATCTGGGAGCGTGAAACCTCTCAAGCAATCATCTCGTGGTGGCTTTCTTTTTTTTTTTTTTTTTAAAAATAATATTTAAAAAAATATATTTAAAATAAAAAAAATAAGCAACTTTCAACCACACAGTTGCAAAGATAAAGATGGCTTTCTTTTTTTTTTTTTTTTAAAAATAATATTTAAAAAAATATATTTAAAATAAAAAAAATAAGCAACTTTCAACCACACAGTTGCAAAGATAAAGACCGTGAATTGCAGAGCTGGTCCCTAAAATTCACAGCCAGCTTTGCAAATGCCGCTGCAAAGGGTTTTGCCAAGCAGCACAGGGCGTGAAGAGATCCTGTCCCTACCAGGGACAGAGAGAACCGGTCTGGCCTCCCAAGCAACAGCCAGGCGAAGCAGCACAAGTAACAGCCCTCCACTCCTCGAGGAAGTTTCCAGCCAAGGCTGAGGAACAGGGCAGAGTAGAGAGAAACCACCCCCGGAAAAAAAGAAAAGAAAAAGAATCATCGAATCATGGAGTCATTTAGGTTTTCACCAGCATGTACTCACAGGAATGTCCCTCTTTTTTTCGGGTTTTGGGGTTTTTTTTCAGGGTTTAAATGACAGGAGTGGTGGGCCCGGGGGTCATGCACGTTCACTCCGCAACGCGCTCCGTCCCAGCAGTTTTGGGGTAGATTTTTCAAGGCCTGGTGATGGCTCCCAGGAAGGCTTCTCCCATCCACTCCTGGCTCCCGCACGATCAGAATCTATTGCATAGCATTTATTTCAGATAAGGCACCATTTTGCCCAATGCGAACAGCAATTCGAAATCAATGCAGTTTCCATACAGTCCAAATTTGATGGCCTATAGTGCAATAACACATGAAATCAAAGGCAAGGGTTGGAAGAATAAACCCAGCTTTAAATTTGAACTTAAAGATTAAAAAGATAAAGGAAACTACATTTTTCAAAAGCCTTTTTATTTTCCTTCACCATTGTTGTTTTACAATACAAATATCACCTTGTGAATACACAAAAACCCTACAGAAGATAACTCTGCTTCACGTAAAATACAGACTGGATATATATATATTTATATATATATTTTTCTCTTCTTCATTCTTTTTAAAAAAAACCCTATTTCGTTCTGCACATTGGCAAGTTTAGGATAGAATACTTCCCCAGACATACAGTATGTATGGTAGGAGTGAAACTTAGAATTACATGCAGTTTCTGCACGAGTAATTTTAAAGAAATAGATTCTCTCTGTTGTTTTTCAACAACAGTTCAATAGGGGATGGAGAAATCATTCGCAGTTCACTCAGTGATCATTTGTAAAATTCTTAAAAAACAGGAATTCATGGCTGTTTCGCTTTTTAAAACACAGCTACCGAGTAGACAAGAAAGTGAAACCTTTTCGTTTGACCTGCCCGCAATGTGTGAGCAAGATCGGACCCTTTTTATTTGGTTGTCTTCCATACACATGGCAATTTCAATATTATAAGCAAATTTCCAGTTTAATTTAGCTATAAATGCAAAAATTAGTAATTATACAGTGTATATATAATTCTGCTTTCATGGAATACTTTATTTTAAATAAAAACATTTAAAGACTGCCTACTGACCATACAATCAAGACAAGAAAGGCACTAGAAACATAGACAAATCTCTCTCTCCCAAGAAGCATTTTCTTTAAATTTTAACTCTCTATTATCTGACAAGTAAAAATCTGTTTAAATTTAATTTTCATACACATTTTGAAAAATAAAGTTAGGAAATACTTAGAAAATCACTTTACAACTTTTTTCTTTTTTTCTGGTTTTTTTTTTTTTTTTTTTCCTTTTTTTTTTTTTAAATTTTTTTTTGCACTTTTTGACACAGTCACTGCAGATTCTACAAAACCAAGATTACCAAACCTCCCTGTGTCTGTCATCTTATTCATAGCGCGGTGCGACAGGTAGAAAGATTTCTCGATTTCACCCAAGGCAGGTATTTAGAAACCTTCATAGAGTCATTTGCTAGAAAATGGCTTACAGCCCAATCTTTGGGGCAAGAGATATGAAAAGTATGTTTTCCCAAGAAAATAATATGCTTTATTCCCAGACGCGACTGGAAAGACCAGAACTCATGATATAAAAGCTTTCATTTATGCTGCCGCATCATATACAAAGGAACACGGTGATGGGTAAATGTCAATCCCACATCTATTAACAAGAAATGTATAACAGTGCATGAGAAGTTAAATTTTCTTTATTGTTGTCCAACGCAGATCCTTTGGAGAGAAAAAAAGATCACAGTGCTTACCAGGTAACTGAATAGGTTAAGTCAAGGGAACTGTTAAAAGAAAGGGTTAGGGAGCAGGTTGATTTCTTTTTTTTTTTATGGCATCTTCTCGTATGGAGTTCTTAGCACTTGGGACAAGTCCTCTGCCCCTGTTGTGTCCGCTGACACGCTGTTATGTGTCGTTCACCAAGCGGCTGTATTTCACCTGCCTGCCCCTGTGCAGCACTGGCCAGGGGAAGGGCCAGTGGTAGGAGCGAGGTACAATTCCTTGGACATTCTTTTCTAAGTACTGGAAGGGTTTGTACCACCAGACCCTTGCGAGGAGGTTAGTTTGGGAAGCTTCTTTTAGCACCTGCACAAAGACAATGAGAAAAAAAGAAGAAAAGATAATTACAGAAGAGCACGTTGCTTATTTGCACAACTTCATTGTGTCTTGCTTACAGCTGCTTCCAAAAAATCTCTTGGTGTTTAGAAATACCTCCCAAACAAGTCTGCATGGACAAATCGTAGAATCACTAAGGTTGGGAAAGATCATCAAGTCCAACCGCCAACCCAACACTGCCATGCCCACGAAACCATGTCCTGAATTGCCGTGTCTACATGTTTTTGAAACAGGGATGGTGACTCCACCAAGTCACCGAGAGGAAAGGAAGTCAACAAGTCACCAAGGAAAGGCCAAGAGGAGCCAAGCGACTTTTCCACAGCCTCCCTGCGTACACCAAACGTCGCTCCCAACAACACTGGGAGCAACCATTCAATGGTCCCATAGGAAAAGAAAGACGGCCCTAAAGATCAGTGTCTGCTCTCCTTAGGGAATGAAAACAACCAGCCCAAAGCAGAGCTGTTTCCATACGTATCTCTAAACTCACAGGTAGCTCAAGAATCACTTCAGAGCCTGGCTGGGTGCCTCCAGAGCAACAAGCAAGGCAACCAGAGGAGGTAACAAACCCTCCCATGCTCTCAAGCTGCCCCCACCCACCCTTTTGCTTCTCCCAGCCATGAGGAAACCATAGCTGAGACACAAGGAGTGGGAGGAAGGGAGTTACCCAGCTGCCACATTTTCAAAGCCAGAGCAGGGAAGCACTGCACCAGCCCACCACAAACTGCAAGCGCACGGCTTGTACGCTAAGCTTTCTTTCCATGTCATAAATAAAACGAAATCCACTTTAGCTCTAGTGGGCTCTTGCTTTTAATTTAAAAGTCACAGACAAGCCACAGCCCTCTGCACATGGAACAGCATCAGGAAGGAGAGACTGGCACACACACATGCAGTTAGGTAAGGATCCAAGGACTGGCATTTCCCAACATCTGAGCAGCTTAGGGAAGCGATGTTGAGCCATCTTCTGAGTCACATCATGCAGCAAAACAGGTAATATTTCCACACAGTGAGGCAAAGGGCTTTCCTGAAGCAAGTCCTCATTAGCACTCAAGGCCATCCTGACTTCAGTAGCTTCCAGCTTGGAAGCACAGCCACTTAGCACCATTGTTTTGACAGAGCCCAGGAGCAAATTCAAGGTGTGGAAATCAGTCTGGTGATGTCTGACAAGAGTTATGGAGTCTGGGCACAGATTACTACTGAACACAGTGGTTCCCAAACTGGCTGAACATTTTTGGTGCCAAAAACATACCACAGGGCTTGACTGTGGTCTGTTGCTCCAAGTAACACCAAAACCTACTGGAATAAAATGAAGTGGTAGCGAGAAGACCTCGGTATGATCTAAAAATCTGTACCATCACAATAGTAACGGATTTCCTATCATCATACCAGGTCTTCCTTAAACATAACTAACTGAAGCCATATGTAATAGATAAGTAAAACATCTTTTTCAATGTCGTGCAGAAAGTATTTGGTCACCAATTTGCTGTTACAGACCTAAGAGTAAGTTTCTCTTAACTCACTACGCCTTTCCCATATAGAACAGACTTGCACATTTTCTCCTGCATTCCTCACCATTGTAGGCTCATCTCTTTGCTAGCAAGAAAGCAAGGACAGCAAGAATGACATGAGACCGCATTTAGACTTCTTCATTTGACCTTTGAATCATTTACTGCTGCTCTCTGGTTGAGTATTACAAACCATGCTTTGCTCTCTCCCATTGAGTGCTGTGTCTCCTCCTAAGCAGCTCCTTGTTCTCAGTGTTTCCCTCATCACCCTACTTTTCATGCCTTCCCAGACACAGGCCTTAGGACAGGAGCAGCCTGTTCTCTACCACACTACTCTCCACAAGGAAACCATTTCCCTTTGTCAGGGGAACTTACCACCACTTGGAAACACTTTGAAAAACTGCTTCAATTTTTGTGAGGCCTCATGCTATTCTTCAAGAGATCTGTCATCTAACCAAAGAGCACAAGTGACAGAATACAAGGAAAACCCAGCTGACTTCAACCAAAAAAACCCACAAAAAAACCAAAAAACCCACAAAAAAGACTCAACAAAACACCACAAAACCCAAAACAACCCAAGGCAAAAAGAACCCGCACCACATCTAAATGCCATCACAAAACTGGCAAACTAGCCCAAATTCAGAAGGACTTCAAAAGATGAGGTTACACAGCAGAAGCAAAGAGGCCTGCCTGCGCACAGATCTTCAGACATTTTTATTGTCAAGATGCAAGATGAACCCAACTGATGATGGTTTCTGCAAACCCAGTACGAGGGGGCAGGAGAGGGATGCTCCCCAGGACACACGTGAGTCCACTCCTACTCCTGCAGAAAGACTCAAGTCAAAGTGGGTATTTGCCACGACCACACTATGGGAAAGCCAGTGATAGCCAATGCCAGGACAAGGGGCAATGGTCCCAAGCTGGAGCACAGGAGGTTCAATCTGAACATGAGGAAAAACTTTTTCACTGTGAGGGTAACACAGCATGGCCCAGGCTGCCCAGAGAGGTTGTGGAGTCTCCTTCTCTGCAGACATTCAAAACCCGCCTGGCCGTGTTCCTGTGTGACCTGCTCTGGTGATCCTGCTCTGGCAGGGGTTGGACTGGATGAGCTTTCAAGGTCTCTTCTAACTCCTGATATTCTGTGATTCTGTGAAGCGGAGCCACATGGATCCAAGGACCGGGAGACACTTACTTGCTGGTTGGCCATTGTGTGATACCACCAGAAAAGTCTTGTAGTGATGTAGTAAGCCACCACCACGTCCACAGTGTAGTGGTCATGAGCAAGGAGGATGCAGAACATCCCAACCATGCTGAGCGCCCAGCAAAGCCAGTGATACCACCAGAGTCGCCGCGGGGAATCTGGAACGAAGCAGAAGCAGCGATTAATTGAAAGCTTAACATTATCAGCATGTAAGACTACTGCTGTATTTAGCAGAGGACACAGACCACAAACCTGGGTGGGTGGTGCAATGCCAGCATCAAGATTAAGAGCAGGAAT